AGTAGATTTTTTTATTGTATTTATGGATATTATTGGTGTTCAAAGATAAAAATAATAATAAAAAATGTAGTTAATAGTTATTTATAATGTATTGTTATTTTGTACTATAGGAAACCAAACCAGTAGATGATTGGATTAAACCTGGAGAAGCAGTAACATCTGTAGAAAAAAAAATTGTTAGGTCTGACCATCCTGGACAAGAATCTGATTCCGAAGATGATGATGATAATGAAAATGAAAATGCTATAATAGAAGAAAAAGAAAAGATTGGCCCTATACAAATTGATGAAACTGATAACAAACAATTACAAAAAATGGACATAGATGACTTGAGCGCAACACCAGAAATTAATAAAACCATTAATGTTATAGAAAAAGACGAAACTATGGATGAAGATTAATTAATTGTATGACTGCCTATATTATTATTTTTAAATGTGTAAATAATTTTGTATGTAAAAAAATAATGTATATGTTCAATTTGACATTTCATTAACTAATAAACACTTTTATAATACATTTTTTTTACTGATTATTTGATGCCTTATCTTTCATAATAGTTGTTTATATGGAGTACTATAAACTAACCTTAACTAAATAGTAAATAATATATCCTGTTACATTTTTGGATGTAGAGTTCTAATTTTATTTGTATAGTAATAACTAATAATGTATAACTAATACTTAATTTATTACCTTTGGTGACGCGTAAGGGGTAATTATTCATGTCCAAATATAATTTTATTAAACACATACAAATTCAGAAAGTGGATAAGTGGATAACACTCGGCTGTACATTTGGTGTCATGATAATTTACAGTAATGGATGTGTTCAATTTAAATTCAAAGGTATAAAGTTTTTGCATATAAAAAAACAATTCTGAGCGAAGACGGTCTATTAGCCTATGATATTACAAGTATAATTTATGATTTTATTAGTAATTTATTTTACCTTTAAGCATTAGTACTACAGTACTAATTAATTACAAAAAAAATTGCCTTGCGTATATCTACCTATGTGATCACTAAATAATTATTAATCACTGTTCCATTAACTGACTAAATTAATAACAATAATAATTATAATCTTTTTCATGTCACAAATATAAACTGAAAACGATAAAGTAACAATATAAATGTCTAAATTCCGATTTATTAACTATGCCTATAGTTTAAACAATTGTCCCTACTTTACCTCGGATGATTATAATATTTGTAGTAGCCAAACATTTACATTTTTTCTTTATCTACCCGAGTTATTGATTCATTTTTAGTTATCTATGCTTGAGATCATTGAATTTTTAGTTATCTATGCTTGAGATCATTGAATTTTTATTATGAGTATTTACATTAATAATATTATAATCATGAACTTATACACACAAAGTAATTCATAAGTATGATACTAGAATAGCTTATTGGCTGATACCTATCATGATTATATAATAAGTTAATTATATCTTGGTAGGCACCTATTACAAATGCATTAAACTATTCAAGTATTAGTTTATGGGAAGGGGGAATAATACAATCCTGAACCCAGTTTCAACTGTCCATCAAAAAAAAAAAATAGTTCCGGACCACTGTCTGCAGGGTCATCAATATTTGGACTTTGGACTTATAATTAGGCATTAACTAGGTAAGAAGTTTTTATTTTATATTAATCATGTATTCATACTACATAGTTCTAGTACAACTTCATCTACAGTACGTATAAATGAAGTCTATATAAAAAGTCAAAATACATTAATTTACATGTTAGTATATATAATATTATAAACCTACCTACGTAATATTATGTGCAAAGGCATCTGTAGATTGCTTAATTGTAATTATTAAATTTATAAATTATAAATTTATTTTTTATTTTCTACACAGTTCCTACACAATATGTTTTTCAATGGCGAATTTTTTTTCCCGATAATCCAGTTCCAAACCCATAATATTTCGACTTTGTATGCACCCTTCTCCATTATTTATACCTCCATATTGGCTTCGAATTTATAACTACATAGGCTTTACATCAGATACTTTGATGTACTTATCTTGTTTCTTTTTCATATGTCAAGTTTAACTTTACTATATAATGGTTTGGACTTTAGAAAGTAACAGCCAACGATATAGGTTGTTTAAGTAAACTGTACATTGCTTAAAATGTCAACATTTTTTGTCAATAGTTGGGTAATAAAAGGTAAATTTATTAAAATATATCCCTTATGTATATCCATTAAATAAATATATAGCTATGTAAGTACTAAGTAGGTACCTAAAGGTATCGAGCGGAAATTTCAAGATAATAATTAGGTTTACCAATAAAATAATATCGTCCTTAATATTATAAAAGTAGGTAAGTTTTTAGTATTAGTATTAGTTCATTACAAATTAGTATGAAAAAAACACTGCCTATAAAACTGATACGATGGTCGATTCTTAAATAATAGAGAGAGGAGGCACCTATATGTATATGATATACTAATAATAGTACTTATGACCATAATTGCAATATTTTGAACTTGGACTATGGATTATAGTACCTATTATCGTACTCACACTCACACCTAAATAATATTAATTCGTATATAGTTTCTACCAAATCTAATGTTCAATCTACCTAATCATACATTCAGTCATTATCGGAAATCACAGCACACATTGCACCACGGTCTTAGAATTCATCTATGCCTATATTATAATATTTATAAATATTATTAGTTTGTATTACCTGTGGGCTGTGAGATACGAGTAGAGTTATAGTATTATAAGAATTTATAGTTTAATAAGAAAATATATATATGTATGTACGACATATTTTATTGGAAAATAATTGGTTGAAAAAAATGGTTTTTTTAATTATATTTAACTGGAACTGCATTGATTTGGAACATATTTTTTAAGTATTTGGTTGGAAACGTATACGTTTGAAAATTAAATTATCAGAAAATATTTTGCTAACGAATTTCATCGGAATAATATAAATTCAAACAGGCACGGACTTGCCCTAAGATATATATTTGCCGCAATCTTTAAATATTCGCCATATTCATATAGGTACATTCAGTAGTCTTATTGTTAAAGTAAACATATGCATAATACAAAGTACCTATATATTATGTAGGTAAATTGTATTGCAGTAACTAGTCTCATATTATAATTTTATTTTTTTATATGAATAAAATAATGTTAATTCTCTAAGAACTTCAAGTAGCTTATTGGTACCTACCTATTTATGTTTTTTAACATATTTTAAATATTTTATTTAAACGAAATTACCTAATTATTGTAATATTTTATAAATTTCATTTTTTGCTACCCATTTACCAAAAAAATGTTTATTATTTGCCCTAAAATGATGTAGCATTTCAGTACATCTGATAGACGTTGGACACATGTTACTGTGTCAGCCTATATATTGTATCTACAAAATAATTCGTGAATATTAATGAAAATGAAATGAAAATGATGACTATATTTTTAAATTGCCATGAGAAACCTTGTATTCAGTTTGACAACTGAAGCTTCCTACAAATACAAATTTTGCTAAACATAAATCGAATACAAATTTAAAAATTACTAATTTCCATAGAATATACTCGTAAATAGGTTTGTTATATTAATATTTGTTGAACATTTTAAGTCTTTTCAAACCTTCGTTTTTGAATAACAAAACATTTTTTTTATTTTTTCCGATTCCCTGTTGTATTATACTTACATACCTATATTCTTTTCTTCAATTTTAATAAACTTTTCATATTTTTTTTAATATTAAAATAATTTAACTATTCATAGATACTATATTTTCGAGCAACATAACTAGAAACTATACTATAACCAGACGCGTATAGCTAGTGGAAAATTTTGGTTGTAAAATTGAACTTTTTTATCTTCAATTATTTAAATTACAAAATATGAACCTAATAAATTATAAATACAAGCATGCTATAGAAATTATATGGTCTTGTCGAAAAAAATATATTTTTTGAAAATATTTAATGGTGGTCGCACCTCTAAATTCTAATCCCGTTCAGAATACGCTCAACTTACCAGCATATTAAACGTACTATTTAAGTAGGTACCTACTACTTAGAAAGTATTTAGGCTTATGAATTATGAATAGATACCTATACCTACTACCATTGATTAAATATACTATATTTAATCAATGTTACTACCTTATATAAAGGTGTACCTACCTATAACTCCTATTACCTTACCCAGAGGCATACGTACACGATACACATACCCAAGTAAAGATAAAATGTAAATACAAATTTAGTCAATGTTCAATTTGGTAAAAATCAAGTTGAAACTATAGTGGGTACAATAATTAGTAGTTATAGTATCTATTTGACTGCCTTGGTAATTTATAATATAAAATAGCTTTGAATAATAATTAATATTTTGAACTAACTATTATCTAATAGCCACTCTGCAAAGATGATGTCGGCGCTTTATTTGTTTCCTTCCCTGGGGCACTACCTAGCTCATAACACTGTAAATAAAATGTATTCAAAAATGAAATATTTATAGGTAATTTTCAAAATTTTATAACTGATAGTAGGTACCAACCAATTGCATATTTCAATATTTTACTTTCTACGAATTTTGGTACAACTACCTACTACAACTTACCTATTATTTAGCTACGTGCCTATATTTATAGCATTTATAAACTTATAGTTTATAAAATAAATTAGGTTAGTGCTTACTGTTTAGTAGATATGCAGGTAGATTAGTTTCAACTGAAGGTCTATATAGATAGACAGTTCTTTTTGAAATTGTCTTCGATACTATATTAGTATTAGAAATTGCTATGTATATTTGAAGGTGATAATTATTGTTCTCAATAAGCATTCGCGCAGTTTGAACTAATTATCCTTCATGGCAATAATTAAACTCGAAGGTTATAAGTTCGGTTCTTCGGTAGTTATAACTTATGATTAACACTCCATAATATAATTATACACTAACTGCAGGCTATATAGCTATTTTTCATATTGATATATAGATACATAAGTGGGTACATTGCATATACAGCGAGTATACCTCTTAAATTGTGTAGCTATTTTCAGTTTGCAGTATTTTGATGTCATTCATTATAGTAACTAGTAAGCACTTATGTCTTATACATACAACATACCCATACGTTATAAGTAAATCAAAAATCGTTTGAGCATAAGCCTATTTAATATACATTGTAAAATATATTTTAGTTACACTTATACAAACTTACATGTCGTAATACAAATTAATTTTTTTTACCTATATTGAATTTTACGATTGAATCAAGCATATTAAGGTAATCTAACCATTATGTTTAATAGTTATTATTACAGAAACAAAACCTATAAATTCTGACAAATTCGTTTACCTAATATATCATAAATCATATTTAAGGATTGATAAAAGCTGTACGCCCAATATTCGTGGATGGAATAAAGAAGCGAATAACAAAATGAGGTCAGCTGTGTTTGCCGCCTTCGTTTTTTGTGCCTTAACAATCGCACCGACCGGGTCGTCGGAAATCCTGGTCATATTCCCGACGACTGCCCAGAGTCATTACCGTGTCGTCCGACCACTAATCCACAGGTTGTTGGATCGCGGACACAAAATATTGGCCATCACCAACTTCCCGGATGCCGTGGAAAGAGCAAATCTATCACAGATAGACATTGCTGGGTTGAAACCGCATTCGAAATTCAAGACCAGCAACAATGGAATAATGAAATCGATAACTCGAGTAATCGGAAACGCCAACACATACGCGACTATTCTCAGTCATCCGACAGTGGCGAAACTCCTACAGTCCGGTCGGAAATTCGACTTGGTGTTGGCCGAATTTTTTACATCTACACCAATATTTGCACCGATCGCCACAGTTGTAGACGCACCGATTGTTGGCTTCTGTCCAATGATCACATTTCCGTGGATAAACGATGTGATGGGAATGGATACGACCATGTCTTATATGCCTAATATTCTCAGCGATTCCTCGGACCGTATGTCATTTTTCCAGCGAATCAGTAATATTGTGAAAACCGCAATCATCTACATCGCGTTTAATTGGATTTACACCCCCATAATTCGGCAAATTAATAATCATCATTACGGAATACAAACGGAATCAGCAATAAAAAGTATGGCTAATTTAAGCATGATTATGACGAATAATTATCACAGCATGTTTTTACCCTTTCCCCAACTGCCCGGAATCGTTGAGGTTGGTGGTATTCACGTAGTCGATGAAAAACCTATCCCGCAAGTAATAAAAAAATCATTACAAAGTATATTAAGGATAACCTAAAAATGTAATTTCATGCTTCAATGTTTGTCTGTTGATGAATACATAGGACTTGAACGATTTCATAAATAATGCCGATCGTGGTGTGATCTTATTCAGTTTGGGCACTGTGGTGTCGGAAGAATCGTTGAGTGCCGATAAGCTGTACAACATACTCGATGCATTTTCGAAAGTTAAACAAAGAGTCATTATGAAGTTCGATTCTGAAAAATACAAAATACAGTTACCAGTGAATGTAAAAATGGTCAAATGGTTTCCACAGCGAGATCTCTTAGGTTGATAGACAACGATGACATATTTTTTATACAAGCAAAATAATTTTAAAACGTTTTGTAGCTCATCCAAAGGTACTACTATTTATATCACACGCTGGTATGATGAGCGTAATCGAAACAATACACTGTGGTAAACCAATGGTAGCTATACCGATATTTGGCGATCAAATGTTTAATACCAATTTGTTGGTTGGAAAACAAGTGGCTGTCGCTATAGAATACAAACATTTGGATAGTGATCATCTTTTCAATGCTATTAATGAAGCATTGGCCGAGAAATATACGTATGGATATATCGAATTTCTTAGCCCTTATTTGATTTGATTTTTGTTCTAGTTTACTAAATTTGTTGTTTAATTTCAGGATTAACATGAAAAAACTGCAACAGTTGTATAATGATCGACCACAATCACCTCTCGAAACGGCAGTTTACTGGACTGAGTATGTAATAAGAAATAAAAACAAATCGAAAGAACTGTTAAAAAGTCAAAAGGTTCACTTAAATTTGTATCAATCGAATTTAATTGATATATTTGCTGCTTTTCTCCTCCCACTTATTGTGGTAATATATTTTATACAATGGAAAATGAAACACATATTATACAATGGACAATGAACGTCTAAAGCAGCATTAAGTGAATTATCACTGATGGCCGCATGTAAAGGGTTGTGATTGTTCTGTTTGTTCATTGTTAAAATGATTTTAATTTTGTTTTCATATCTATTCTAGTCTCTAGATTTCTAGTTTGAAAAATGAAAAATCCACTCGGAAATTTATAGCAACCCAAAACTGCTATGGAATACTATTATATGGAATACTAAATAAAAAAAATAATCACCTTAAAACTTACGGAATTTTAATTTTTATTACTTACTAAGTAAATTATACCTATGACCATCTGGCATTTATTATATTAGGTAAATCCAGTTCCACTAAGAATATTTTGATGGTTGATATTTGAGTGAAGTTTTGAAATGTATACCGCTTTTCTACCTTTTCCACTTGGTACCTATTGGGTTATGATTGTACACCGAGAACAAAAAACTTAAAAATAAATCAAAACATAAAAATACGTGGGAATAGACCGTATTGTAACTACACAATTAGGTTGATATTGCTATTATAGAAATAGAACTATACCTACAATATAAGTTACACTGTCTAATAAGTAATAAGTAATAACAATGATTTAAATAATTTATTATGCGAACGGATTGCGAGACACAGTCACCTAGACATACAGTTGTAGGCCCAAAGGGGTTGTAGGTATACATCACACAAAACAGTTATTCTGATTCTGAACCTCCCGAGTACTCATAGGTGCTCATTTTTCTTAATTTATTTATATTTATATATAGGTACAAATATTACCTACTAATTACTATTAAAAAAAGTACCTAATAGTATAATACAATAGGAATATAGGATGAACTATTTTTTACCGACTATATCATATATTATACTAAATTATATCAGTTATAACTTATAAGTTATAAGTAGGTAAATCAATATTTTATAATATTATATATTTCTATAATCATATATTAATATTTTAAACATACGAGTTACGAATCTAAGTACTATAAAACTGTACGATTTGCTTCGTGGTAGAATTAATATAAGGTTTAAAAATTGCATTGTGTAGAGTATACCTGTCAAAAAGTTCCATGTCTAGTAGTCAAATTTCCTTTAGGTACCTACATTTGACATTTCTATAATTCATCAAAAGTCTATATAAAACTGTTCTTATTTTAGATATTTTTTGATTGAAATAAGAAAAAATTAACAGTAATTAACTAATGAGTAATAACTTGTGACTTATGAGAATTTTTGTATCTGTTATATTTTCAAAATTAATTTTTATCAAAAGTTTTTAGAAAAAAAATTGAAAATTTGAAAATTTCATATGCCTAATAAAATTGCTATATTATAATACTTAGCTTAAAACTAGTCTAAATAAAATTATAATCACATTGTGCATTCTAAAGATAACATACTTTAATGGAATTCCTATAGGTATTGCAGGTTTCTAAGATTAATATTTTTTTAAACTACCTACATCAAAATAACTCAAATTGTTATTTTTGATATAAATAACCAATTGCCTAGGTAGGTATATTCAAATTCAATCTTCAAGACTTCAAACACTAATAAATAATGAATATAGTTTGGTGGCTAACTTTAATTTTTAATTCCAGTAAATTCAATTACATTTTTAAGTCTTAAATATTGAATATTGTTACACTTTTGATCAACAAAATAATTTGTAAGCGTTTGTGGTTTTAACAAATTGAGTCAAACGTTAAACTTCATACAAATAACAATGATAAAAAAAAATTGTTACTGCTATTCGAAACTGTTTGCATTGTTCAAAGAACAATTTATGATTTATGACATATTATAGCTGATGAAGTTATGAGGAACGTCACATGAATTTTTCAAGCTTATCAACTAAGAAAAAAATGTATGGGTGTGGGTAGTTAAAAAAAATTTAACAATTGGAAATGTCTATATATACCTCAAAAAGAGCAGACATATTTTGAAAATTATTTCAACATTAAAATTTTAATATTCTATGTACATTTTTTTTTATATTTACTTATTTTAATCTATTTATACCAAAAATCTAATTGGTTATACACACCATTCCACGATATGTGATACTGACTTACAACTTACAAGAATAAAATATAATATGGACTTTATAATGATAATTATTTATTGTTGTATGATATCTGATGTTCTTGACAAAAATTAGTTCATCTACTGTATTACTTTCACAGAAAAATTAATAAGTAAGTTCCTATTCTTAGAAATAGCACAGAATAGATTAAATAGAGGCTGATAGTGCCTGACAGTTCAGCTCCAAACTTTTTTCGTATCAATAGTTTATCATAAATTGAAGATTTAATATATGCCCATTAGTCATTATAACTGATAAGGTTTGAAACTTCCTTTATTTGCACAAGTATTGGTAATTTTGAATATGACCCCTTCCCATTCAAGTACCAACTAGATCCAATTTGCTATTAGAAATCACCTCCAATGTTTAAGAATGAAACATTCTTATATTGTATACCTCACTAGGTATGATACACAGAAACAGAAGATTTAAAACCAATGCATTTAAATTTTAAACTTTAAATTTCCTCAGAATCTAAAATATTTTTGTGAGATTTAGTCAGTTAACTTCGTTCAACTTGACATAATATTATTTTGAGCTTCATACTTATCAAAAAAATTGTTTCAATTGCCGAAAGACATTATATATTTTTATATTATATATATTTTCAAATATTTTTACCGGAAAAAAAATCCACATCACTGTAAAACTGATTAATTCTTTGTTCAGTTCAGGATCTAAAGGTAAGAGGATTGTAGAAATTGTACCTTGCCAAACATATTACAATTAAAAAGATAATTTTTTTTTTTATATATTTATTCAATATTTTGTACAAAATAATAAATAACAATAAAAATAAAAAATAGGATTCTTCCACGCATGAAACAATATTATTACAATTTTTTAAATAAAATCCTAATTATTATGAACTGTATTTATGTATAAAATATTATGATACTTAGTACATATTAAATAAACTAATTTACAGGCCTGGATAAAATATTCTAAACTTGAGAACAAATATTAAATCATCATTAATTAATTTATATGTATAAATATAATAATATTGCTTACTTTTTATTGTTTAAGCTAATATGCATAATGATACTGATTGGGAATCAATTTACAAATATACACATCAAAAGGATAGTTAGGCAGTTTTAGCATATTATGACAATTTTGTTCAGTACATATTACAAATTATAAATATAATATTAAAACAATTGTGAATAATTCAGTATTTTATTAGGCCAGTCCTCTCAAAGAGCAGTTATTTATTAAAATGGACATCTTAGTTTAAATATTGATGTTCACTTTTACATTTAACAGGTAATGTACTCAATTTGTACGTTTGGAATTTCTTTAAGTCCTAAGCTTCTTTTAAATTGAATAATGATATAATAAGTATAATATTGTGTTATACTTCGGTATCATTGTTTAAAATTTGATGTGAGCCAAGCAAGGCCTTCATGTAATCCATCTCCTGTGGTAGCACACGATGGTTGAACATACCAATTTCTATCTCGTATTCTTGTTAATCCAAGTTTTTCTTGTATTTCGTGTGGTTTCATTGCTAAATAATAACACATTAAATCAGGATGAATTTAAAATTAAAAAGTATTACAATGCATACCATTGGTCAAGTCTTGTTTGTTGGCAAATATTAAAATTATTGCATCCCTCATCTCTCTGTCATTTATTATCCTATGTAACTCTTGCTTAGCTTCATCTATACGATCACGATCTGCACAATCCACTACAAAGATTAAACCTTGTGTGCCCGTATAGTAGTGTCGCCATAGTGGACGTATTTTGTCTTGACCTCCGACGTCCTAAGAAAAATTAAATTGACCATTTATTTAATTTCATATTTGCATTTAAACACAACTAATAACCTAACAACTTACCCAAACATTAATTTTCACATTTTTGTAAATTACTGTTTCAACATTGAAGCCAACTGTTGGTATTGTCGTTACAGATTGACCCAATTTCAATTTGTACAAGATAGCTAAAATATTTTAATAGGAAAAATGTCCATTTGAAAGTTATTTAACATCCATAATTAAAATAAAACAAACTTATATAAACTAAGGTACTATAGAATATACAAATCAGTTAAATATAAAAATAAAACAATAAGCAACGTAATAATTAAGCTATTAGATCTCCATACGGATACAAGTTTTGCCTCACAATTTTGTAACAACAGCTTTAGACCAAAATATATTATGGGAGCCCTTATGCTTATAGTAAATATCAAGTTTTCATCTTTAACTGTAGTATCACTCTTAGATAATATTTTAATGAGTATTCTGATTAGCTTATGCATTTTAATTGCTATTATATTAGTCATATAGGTATTCAGTTAAATTTAAATTATAAGAAAAATAATATAGTATACAATTATTATGCCATTATTCAATATGAATTGTAAATGAAGTATTATGGTCTTACAAACGTGTTTCAGCATTTAAAATATGGATAAATGTAATAAAGTAAAGTATTTAGTTAAAGCTACAGAGTAAATTCTAAAATAATATTACAATGAATAACCAAAATTACTTAAGAAGAATTCTTAAGGTATGTAATTTAAAATTAGAAAAAATAGATTGTTTTAAACATAACTTCAGTTTGGCAACTATCCATTATTGAAAAGGAACTATATGAAGTATTAAAATTGTAGAATATATATTGTAAGAAGCAAATATATAATTTAAATTTTCAATTATTAAATTAACATACATAATTTATTTATAAGCTATAAATCTTGTTTTTTACAAAAAAGGATACTTGTTTTTCCAGCTGCATCCAAACCAAGCATAAGTATTCTCATCTCTTTGTTACCAAAAATTTTGGAAAGCAGCTTTCCCATAGTGATGGATTATCTGAAAATGAAAACAAAAATAATATTCTATCAATTATTATAAATGTAATTATTTATAATTAAACCAATGACTAAAAGTGTAAATAAATTTTAATAGGTAATTGATATTAATATCAGGTGTGGCTCTTAAGTTGGGATACTAAGGTCATTGAAGAAATGAAAGTTCAAATAGTAAAATAGTTATATCTAGATTAATTGTAAACTACAAAATTTCAATAAAAAAAAAAATAGTTGTATTGTATAATTTTATGTTTAGGCAAGTTGTAACAGTTTCTATACTAATTTACCTATTTTGAAATTATAAATGCTTTATCAGTTTTTTACACAGCAAGCGCATTGTAGATTTTACATAGATTGCCTACACCAAAAGGAGTTTACATTCAAGATTTTCAAGGAAGAATTTGGAGTGTATCGATACGTATCGAGGCAATTTTGAGCGTTCAAGAAGTTACACGTGCAGTATACAAGCGATACGTACCGTCCCTTATTGGACTCGGACTTTGATACGAGGTGGTACGTATCGATACGTATCAAATTTTTCTTCTTGAAAATCTTGATTAGTTTTGTTAAAATGTAAAGTTAGTTGGTCAAGAAATTTATCAATACAAAAATACAAGGGAGAATGTAATTTTCACGCAGTTTACCCATCATATCACCTATACCTAAATTGAAAAAGGGCAGCTAGATAATAAGATATCCTAAAGGCCTAAACAATTGATATTAAACCTATGGATTTATTGATGAGGAATTGTATAAAAATTTGTTAGTCAACACAACTGATACCATATTAATCACACTATCATTAATCTTTTTACACTTTTGTTTAAATGTTAGTTTTTTTATCACTAAGAAGCTTCAGTATGAGCGAGGAGAACCGTGGTTTCTGTCTCCGTTATAATGGCTAAATAGTGTATGTTCAGGGAAGATAGGAAATCTATGTTTAATATCTTAAACCCTAATTATTACTCTAGATGAACACATTTAGAATAAAAATTAGAATAAAAATTTAAGCAGAGCTTAATATTTTAAAGAACGGGAAGTTACACCTACATTCCATGTATTTACTTAGAATAATAAAAAGAAAACAAAAGTATAGGTAAACAACAAAAATTTGTTTAAACTTTATATTTCTTTTACTGTATATTGTACATTTAGTTTTAGTACATTTTAACAGTCATAAACACCAACAAGAACGTCCCCAGTTGAGCTTATGTTTAATATGTTGGTAAAAATGCAAAAACAATAAAAATTTATATGAACAGAGATAGGTAGCTCAAGTGATATATTTTTGTGGATCATAATTATTTTTTAAGTAGAAATGTTATTTAGTTGTAAAACAGTTAACTAATACACATTTGTTGAAAAAAATAAAAATATGTTATCTTTAATAGGTACCCATGTAAAATATATTTGAATAGACATTTAAAAGGTACCTTTGTAAAAATTTGAGTTCTGTTACAATCTTAGATTTATAATGAATAATGGGTAGGTAACTATTGAATTGTTATTGGTAATATTAAACAATCGACATGTAACAACATTTTGATAGTAATTCAACATTTAAAAACAAATGTAGACAGCCTTGAATAATTACTAATGTATGTAGGACATTCAAATCATTTTAAAATGCATAGCACTATAGGTATATTTTATTATCTTGCCGATAAAATGTAAAAGTTTTTGTGACATGTGTCTAATGACCAAAACCTAACAAGCCAGAAAAAAGAAAAACGGACACATTTACCCCTCAGGGGAAATAATTTCACACAATAAATGCTCAGCAACTAGTGGTCAAAACAGTAAAAAAGGCCAAAGTTAGCACACGTACCCAAAAGGCATATAAATATTAACACAAAATATCCGCAGAAGCGGACGGTAATGTCATGATGTGCGCGTTTTACAGGCACAAAGTTCTACGTACCAGTGAACATTTACAGCGGACCGGTGACAGCGGGCAGCGAATGTTCAGGCCAAATCTTGTTGTGCGGGCTCGATTACAGCGGCGTCACGGTATTCGGTCATCTCGCTCAGCGTCACAGCAGTGGCACGACGACGGTAGCGGCGATATTTATTGTACGTTACCGTCGCATACGTCAGAGATTTCAATACCTTACAGACGGTCACCCGTGTTCAGTGTGAAACCAAGCCAGTGCCCAGTGGACGACGCGATATCGTATCGGGTACCGCGCGATATACGATATTATAATGCGCGATAACGGAAATACGGAATCAACGGGTTTGGGACGCAAACGTCGGGCAATAAATAGCGCATTTGCCGTAGTCGGCGGCGGCGGCGGCGGCGGCGGACTATGATCGACGGGAGCGGAGAAATGATTAGTCTAATGACAAAAAAGTCGTGAACGGGAGGAACAAAAACACGGTGACGAGTCCAAAAAAACAACGGCGGCGTGCCCGACGACGGGCGATAAGTTGGAAAAACGAAACGCGTTATTTTATTTTTATATTATTTATATGAGTTGTTTTTTTTCCTTTTTTTTTTTTCTATCACTATTCAGTATTCACTGTGAATACAGCGAATTCGTGATATTGTATATCGTATACCTATCTGTGTGTGTTACCGGAGCGAAAGACTGCTGCGGCGGCGGATGTTCAGTGGGGTGTGCAACGGCGTGGGGGGGGGACGTATTCGAGCGATAACGAACAAAAACTAACGCTGCGATGAACGTACAGGCACGTCGCGCGTCGTCGTCGTCGTCGTCGTCGTCGTCACCACCGCGGCCCGCGGACACGCAACGGCCACTCCGGCCATAGTGCAACTAGGACACCGACCGTAGATAATGGAACAAAAATATGATTGTTGCGTGATAAGCGCCCTGTATATGAGACGACCGTGGACGTAATGTGGTGTTGTTACAGAACGAATTTAAATTTAAATTTATTAATTATTTTTATTAGTTTTTACCGTACAGACTACGGAGTGTAGTGGTGTGCACAGCGTCTGCTGCTGCTGGTATTGCTGCATTATTGGTTTTCGGCAATCCGCGGCAATCGACAAAATAGATTTATTTTATAAAATACAAATACAAATTAACAATCATTTAAATTAGGTACCTACCAATTATGTTGTCTAAATTTCAATCGAAAAGTTGGCTATCGGCATTCGTCATGTTGGAGTTATTTAACAAAGTTGTAACAACACAAACAAAAAAAAAAATAATCACGCATACAATTTTTGTTATTTTAAATTTTTAACTATTTGTAAGTCGTAAATCATACCGTGTCAGGCTGATCGTGTTGTCGAATGTCGATCACTACAATATTATATACACTTATTAGTTATTATTATGTGATGATTTTCCATTGTACGACAACCGAAGTTTTATTAATTATCATGCTTAATCACTTATTTGAGTTACTATAATTATTGTCCAGCTATCGCATGGTTTGAAAATGTTTAAAATATTATTTATCATCGTTATTACTTATTACTTATTACTTTACATGAGCCGGTTGGAAGGAAAATGGCGCACTGGGAAAATAAATTATCACTTTTACCCCCTATGCATTCATAGTAAAACTACCAAAATTCCACAACACAGGGGAGAACTGTATCTGTGCAGTAGTTTTTATTATTTGAATAATATAAATACACTTAAAGTTATTAGTTTGAGAACATTAGGTTTTTTTTCATTTAATTATGACAAATTATTGGCTGGTGCTATCAAAAAAATTAAAACTACGTCACAGATTAAGTTTTTCCCTATGCGTTGTGGAATTTTGGTAATTCTGATATTATGAATTCAGTCTACAGAGGGAGTAAAGTTGTTCCACGCAAAAACAGTTTTTGCTATGTTGTACATTTATAAGACGGAGATCGGGAGATGACATTTGGTTACTACGTCCTCTTCATTTCGAACTCAGTCACACAGATATTGTTAATTGTATTAATTTTTAAAATCTTCCTATTCTTGTTATTTTTTTTTAAAAGAGTCAGAGTCAGTGCGTTTTTTAGTACAAAACATGTATTACAGGAAAAGCTCTCACGCCACGTAGAATTGTCGGATTTCGTTAATTTTTTTTTTATTTAAAAGAAGAGAACATTTTTGCAGGTCGTTTTAAAGTCTGATTTTCAAAATTATAACTATAGAATCACAAAATATGCTTTTGAATAATGCACAATATTTGTTCTTTTCCAGACGTGTTTTTTTAGCACTATTCAAAGTAAAATTAAAATTCTGGCTCTAATCCAACCTGAAAAAAGTTCTTTTCTTTTAAATAAAAAAAAAAATTAACGAAATCCGACTATTCTACAGTGCGTGAGAGTCCCTTGAAGTAATTTTCGGTAATAATACACCGATCAATACCTCCCCCCCTCCCACCCCCAACACATTATTAGGTATCGGACAGTATCGTAGTGGAGAAGTATTATAATTAAGGTAGTAATTTAAGTATAAAATGTAATTTTCAAATGTATAAAACTGTAGAAAATTGGAAAACCCGGCACTGACAATCTTAATAAAATTGTTACTGAAATCCAGATGTTTATCGGATAAGTTTAAGTTTAAATAAATATGTTGGATATAAATATAAAATATTAGATCATAATATATAATAGGTACCTATATAATATCTATTATTCTTTTGGTAATAGAGTATTATTATTTTTGATACGTTTCAACTTTTAATAATTATCCATTCCGTGGATATCACTTTGATCTCCATGTTTAAGTGTTTTGGGAAATACAAATAATATTTTACCTCCGAAAAAAAAACTTGAAACGTTTGAGTTTTGAGATGTGGTGTTGGAGGCGTTTGAAGATAAGTTGGATAAAGCGAAAAACAAATGAAGAAGTACTCAGCACCGCGAGAGACATAATCATGTGATTAAAGCGAGGCTTTGGAAAATGGTCGGACATGCCCTGAGACACCCAGAAGAGATGCATAAAATATGATATTAGAGGGTATGATAGAAGGAAAGAAAACTGCAGGATGTCTCCAAAACTTTTGTATAGGACAAATTAAATGTGATGCAAGAGTCAAATCATTTAAGGAACTTAAAGAAAAAGCTAGCAAACGGTCCGAACTGTGAATTGGAGTTGTGAACCAACCTGAAGGTTAAAAAAAAAGTCCGCAATAATTGTGTATCGTCGTGTATTATCGTGTATCGATTATTACCACGTTTATTATGGCCTAAAGGCTCAATAATTGACCATTGACCAGATAAAACACTCATAACGTAGACTAAATTTATAATTTGTTGTAACCAATGTTATACAAAAACTTTTTAGCAAAAAATAATGTAAATGAGGATGAATTGTTGTACCTCTCCCGCCCACGGGTGTATGTGATCAATCTTTGTTAAAGCCATAACCGAACTAAAATCCTGCGTTCGCTACTATTTAAGGGGACCCTCTCAACACCTACTATACAGCAGAGTCCAGTACCCACTGTCCCATTTTTTTTATCTATGTTTGCCATAGCTAATTCGTGACCTAGCACGTATATGTATACGTAAACGTCCTTGCTTACTGCTTTACTATATTTGAAACTTGTTAAATATTTAAAAAAAAAATACATGTAATTGAGGGGGAGTGCTTCAGCCTGTTAGCTTTCCCACCTGCGTTTGGCACCACCTCAACCCCAACCCCCCCTCGTTTTAGGTTATAAGTTTAACTGTATATAGCACAGTCGCATAGAATATATGCTGTAAAATGTAGATGTGTGTGCACTGTGTATATTATGCCGAGTTCATGCCGATACGATAACATTAAAATACGTGAAGTGTTTTTTTATGAGACAGATTTTTCAGCCGTAAACGGATGAGACATTTTTATTTCCTACATTTTTATAGGTATTGTATTTATTATATATAATAGTTAGGTATGCATCATACGGAACTCGAGACTGCGAGACCATATATTTGTTATCAGTTGACGTTATTAGTGTCAATAGTCATTACTCATTAGTCATTAATCATAATATTAAATTAAATACATGAACTATGAACATGAATATTAGAGGAAGGACGTGGTCAATAAGAGTGAAAAAAATGTGGTCCGAAATCTGAATTTATCGCATCCGCCAGTATGCGCTCCGGAAATCTATACACAGTATATATAGCATGGGCGCATGGCTTTATCTAGGGTGCCAATTTTATTTGTGGAGAGGGGGGAATCGAATTGAGTATTCGAGCAATCAATAACTAAAATGATATAAATAAGAACTATTCTAATAAACATTTTATACGTAGTACATTAGTACATATAGTCAGCGGTTAATTTAATTTGAGTTTAAGCCATTTATAACTGAAAATATTTATGTTGGTAATAAAAATAAATAGTTATTTTAAACATTTGTAAAATACTGAAAAATATTTTGGTGGGGGGAGGGGTCTGGATCCCCTGGATTCCCCACAGATACGGCCTGGCCTGGACCTCTCTAGACGGTTTCAGAAGAAGATTATCATTTAAAAAATTGCATTTGTCGTGTCAGTTGTCAAGCCGATCAAAGCAAGATCAAACCGTGTGATATGAAAAATAAATTATTCATCTTTTTTATGCTTTTTCGGAAAAAAATGCAGCATAATATTTAACGATGCATTGTTACAAATGTTATAAAGCTTATACAATAACATTAAGCATGCATAGTTCGTACATATGATGTATTTATTTCATAAATCTTTTATGATTGAAATCGTGTAAACACTTTAATTAAGCAATCAGGTATCATTGTGTCGATTGTAGGTACTATCCGTGTGTTCCTAAACTTTTGCATATTGTTATCAAAATCCATCGGGTTTCATTTCAGTCCGTCCTTTAGAATAGCAGATTGCTGATAAGTCAATCGGCTTGATTACCTCCCCTCCAGCGGCTGACCAATCTGATGAATTTAGGAACACACGGCATGTCTAGGGCCACCGGCACGCTGTGGTAGAATACATTTTGAAAAATAAAATTATAAAATAAAATACAAAAGAATGTTGTTGTAAAAGCTGAAATTGCAGCCCATTCAAATTTCAAATCCCATTAATAACATTAAATTCATCATTGAATGATTACTCAGAAGTCACGTGGGGCTGAATGCCGAAAATATAAAAATCAATAAATTAAGTACCTATAGTAACAACAATTTGTGATAGGACAGGAATACGATTACTGCAAATTCTAAAGTCTTAATTATTGTTCATTATTAATAATTCAATTAAAATAATGGATATTTTAATAACTTATTAAGTAGGTACTATTAACATTAATTGTAAAAAGTTTTTTTCGATAAGTATACTATTAAATGATGTATTTATTATCTCTTCTTCTTTTTCTTTTTCTTCTCCTTCATATTGACAGCTTACTAGTCCGTTAAGGACCATTGGCCAATGCTGCCTTCAAGAGTCTCACCATCTACCTCTGTTGTACGTTGACGCAAAGGTCACATTTTTGTCTCTCTCTTTCAAGTCTCTGGTTGGTTGTTTTGTTTTTTTTCGACGAATACTTTTTTTATTAGAAGCCCATCTGCTCTCCAAGTGTGTCCAAACCACTCTAGTTTTTTTTTTTAACTCTAAGAGTTTCAATTTCTGTAATTCCTCGTTTCCTCTACATAATACTTTGATATGTATTTGTTTCTTGGTTGAATCGTGGAGCATAGATGTTCCAGAGTATTTTTCTCTCAAATATTATTAATTTTCTCTCATCGCCTTTTGTCAAGAACCGAACCATGCCTTGCATTCATGTGTTATTTAGTGTAAGTTGCTATAAAAAACGCATATTTTGTATGTCTACGAGAGAAATTTTGATTTTATTAGTTTGACTATACTATAATACCGCTTGTTCCAACCCACAATTCTTTCATTCACTTCCTGATGCATAATATTATTCTTATTGTTGAAATTTACTTTTAAGTATTAAAATTTATTCACCACTTTAAATTTCATATTGCTAACCAAAATATCGTTTGAATTCTAATTGTTCCCATTCTCGACATCATCATTTACTTAGTTTTGTTTTAATTTGAGTATGGACCCGTTGCCTTGCTTGCTTTAAGTAGTTTTTCAGTTGTTTGAGTGACTTCTTCCTTAGTCATTCCCAACACTGCAATATCATCGCCTTATCCAAAATCACTGAATCTCAAATTATGTTCATTTTCCGCTGTTCGTCGAATCTCTTACTATTTTTCCAGAGCTAGATTGAATGATGTGGGAGAAAGAAAGTCTCATTGGCGAAGGTCAGATTTTACTTTAAATGTTTCCGAGTAATTTCCGAAAAATCGTATTTTACAGATTGTTTTTTTCATCACATTTTTATTAAATTGATGCACTTTTTTGATATTCCGAGTAATTCTAATCCTTTCTATAGTTCATTTTTGCTTGTCTAAAGTCTATGAATAATACATGTAATTCATCGTCGAATTCATAATATTACTTCTCCAAAACTTAACTTATGTCTTAAGTCTTAACACAAAGATTTGGTCAGGAGTTGACTTACCTTTTCGAAAACTACATTGGAAATATGATATTACCGTTGTTAGGACTTAGGACTTTACAACCAAGTCGAGTTTATGAGATACCTCTATAGTTCTAGGTTACCTTCGGGTTTACCAGTCATCTGGAATTCTTTTTACTCTCCATACACGCTTAATCGCTTCTGTCAATTTCTTCCTTAGCGGTAATCCTTTTTTTTTAACAATTCTGCTACAACACCATGATCACTTGAAGCCTTATTATTTTTGAGACCGCCAACTGCCGCATCGATATCGCTTTGAATAGGTTCCTCAATTTCCGGTTCCACTATGTGATAATCTATATTTTCATCGTCATTGTTGTGAGGAGGTCTATTTAATAGATTTTCGAAGAAATGTTTAAATTTGTTTACTATTTGTTTTCATCAGTGATTAGAGTTCCAATTTTATCTGTTAATATTTTTGTTAGTGGTTTATAGCCCTGTTGAATATTGCCACTTATATTAAGAATATTTTTGGATTGCATCTGTTTATTTCCAAGTCTTCAGTCTTTTTCTTTTCATTTCTTCTTTTTTTTATGTCTTGTTTACAATCTTACTTTGTGCTGAGGTATCTATCGGTATTGCCGACAGATTGTGCAATGCTATATATTGTAACTCATTTCTTTTATCTATCGCTTCCTTCCACATTTGAATCATTTTTTCAACCTTTTTCTTTTTTTCAATACCTAAATATTCACTAACACTATTGGTCACTGCAATACGGCTTCTTTTAGATTGCTCCTCATGGAATCTATTGTTAGTGTTTCTTTTTCTGATTGGGTTGTTAAATATATTTTCTTGTATTCTTTTGTAGTGAATCTGAGATTAAATTGTGCAAATAGTAGGTAATGGTCCAAGTCAGCATCCACTCCTCAGTTAGTTCTCACCTTTCTGATACAACCAGCATGTCTTTTGTTTATCATTATGTGATCTATCTGATTATATACTCGACTGTTTGGAGAGTCCCATGTGTATTTATGTATGTCCTAACAAATGATTAATAGTTATTACTTATTTATTTCTATCTAACTTAAGTTTAAAGAATTGACCTATGTCGACTTATTTTTATAACAGAAACAGATTTTATCAAGATTAGTAGTTAGGACAATAGGTACCTATTTTGTTAATGAACAATGTTGTAGGATTACTTGTGATGGGGAATGTACAAAATGTACTATTAGGGGTAATCAATAATCATAGTAGATTTTAATTCAAAAACCACAACTGAAATAACCATTTATGATTTCTATTATTTCAGATACTTATTTATTACAGAAATTGATAATTTAAAGGACATTAAGTAAACCCAGATTATAACAGAAGAAATGTTGGTTTATGTGGTTTTTTGATGCATCACTAAACTTAATAAGTTGAATTTTAAAATATCTATTTAAAATAATAGTATTTTAATTCTTACTGCTTTGTTGTGGATTGGTCAAATTTAGAGTACATAATTATTTCTTAGTTTGAGCTTTTAGTCTTATTGGAACCTTTTTTCCACCTATTCACCTCATTGATTAAATATAATACACTATATAATACTTTTTAAATTATGATTTATTATGTTTAATAAATGCTCATTGCTTATCTTTCCTCCAAACTAGCCACCTAAATTTAATTTGATGTATTCCGCTTCTATTTCTTCTTATTTTGAAGTAGGTACCTATTTAAATTAATTAATTTACTTCCTATCTTCTATCCTTAGCTAATTGCTCTATAGGTCAATCTAAATTAGGCAAGTAATTAATTCTGTTTCAATCGTCTAATTTTCATACCAATTAGCTGTTATTACAAATCATAAATTTATAATTATCTCAATAAAGGAAAAAATATCAACAAACTTTCGTATTTAAATGTTACAATTTATTACAATTTCATAGGATACAATGTTTTTTTAAAGTTATATGACTAAAATAAGTGCTACAATGAGTGTAACAAATTTATTAAAGTAGGATATAAATTAAAAATAATTAAAAACAAAATTTACATCATAAATGAGGTCGATCGCATTAAAGGTTTGAATTCTGGTATGTTGGACTGCTCTAGTGTAGTAGCTGAATTATTTGGCTTATTAATTACAGCCTGTGTTGATTGGTTTGATGAAGTAGCGGCATAAGCATCAACCACTTTTACTAGACTTATTTTTACTACTTTATACAAAATGACTATTAATGATGTTTGAAGTAACAATGCTCCAAATCCCTTGAACAAACCTAAACGCCCTTCTTGTGCAACAGTTGTCGCCAAACAGTCTAATGGTCCTTCATAACCAGTTAAAATTGGCATTACAGAAGTTCCAGTATCTAAATTATCAATAATAGTTCTCGTGCCTTGTAAATAAAGACGGTGCATAACTAACTCCAAGGGAAAAAGAACAGCATCACTGAATGCGGAAGCTGTTAAATCAGAAACTGCTTCCAGTCGTTCATTAATAGAAGATGGAGCATTAGAATCTTTTGTAATAACTTCAGTTTTGCAGATTCGTAGCTCATACATAATTAAAATTTGTTTTACACTTTTACTAACTATTATATTAGTTATGTATCTTAAGACTCCGTATGTTACTGTGGGCACAACTATAATCCAAACTGGCAACATTCGACCTAATTAAATACAAATAAAAAATTAATAGTTGGTCTTATTATAGTTTATCAATAAACAGTTAAAAGCAATAAATATAAATTATATGCATAATTGTAATTTAAATTATAAATCTATTAAAATATAGTTAATAGGAATGTACCTCTAGTGATATTAAATTATTCAACTGAGATTTTAAAGACATATTATACCTAGCAGTGATTCTTGAGAATAGATAAAAAAGAAAATTTGACAAAAAAAAAAAATACTATACATTTCAACAACAATTTTTATTAACTTGATTGACTGTCAAAAAAAAATTTTAATTGAAATCCCAAGAAATGAAATTGTAATTTCGGTAAAAAATGTATAGGTGAAAACTTTTTCAGGTAGCCAAAAAGGTTCAAACTTTTCATTTAGCACTTCTATAAATCAGATATTTTATATAAGTGAACATTTTGAAGCAGAATATTTCAATATTTCTTAATGCCATTTTTTAATAATTATATAAAAGTATACATAACAGTTATTTAATATTCATCCTACATTGTATTATAAAAACGGTTTTTATTTAGTAAAAGATATTGGCATGTAACTAATATTAAAAATGTATGGATTAACTTATGTAGCAAACCTTTTTGTGGACAATTCCATTGAAGAAGTCTAATAAAACCTTCTTTAAATACGTCATAAAATGCAGTTTTTTCACTAGCAATATTGCTTTGAACAGTTTCTACAAGACATGCTGAATAAAATGGAGTGATAATACTCAAACTTGCACTGCAAAAATATATTTCATAATTTATTGCATATTTAAATCTTCAACATTAGTAATTATTAGTGATCAGATCTTAATGTACTTAAAATAACTTGAACATCTGTACAATTATACTCTAAAAGTAAATATTATATGCACTTTTTCTTTGATAAACAGCAAAAAAAAAAATATTCTCAAAATATATATTAATACTTATTAGCCAACAGCTATACCTCAAACAGTTCAATTTTTTCCAAACTAAACATATTTTATAAATTATATGATGAATTTATAACTAATCGAAATTAGGTACAATAATTTTATAAAAATGAAAAATTATTATAGGGGAGAGAAGAATACTGGGCTAAGCCAAAAACTAAAAGAGGTTTTCATCTCTACATCAAAATCTTAAGCTTCACAAACAGTATTTGCACCTGGGAATAATATCCTTGGGGTAAAATGAAAATGAAATTCAACTTAGGAATACATATAATACACCTCGTATTTATGGACAATATGCGCAAGTTACATTTAAATGGTATCCATTTTATCTAGGTATATGCCATATAGTTTGTGCAGAGGAATTGCATATCATGTAAAATCTACAACTATTTTGAAAAATATACAAGTGTATGAATATAGAACATCAATTTTATTTAAAATAAGTTTTATTATTCTAATAAACAAAATACGATTGATTTTAAAGGCAATTAAAATGTTTTGTTGGTATATTAATATTTTAAAATAAAAAATTTACTAAAATATGCTTTTGTCAAAAAAAAAAATGCATATAATTTGACTTAGAATGTGAAACACATTGTTCTTTTGTGTTAGCTTTATAATGGATCAATAAATAAATCATGCAATGGTATAACATCTAGGACATCTAACTGAATGTTTAGTTGAAATATTAATGTAAAATTAAAGAGAAAATAGTTGTATAAGGGGTTTTATATGTAAAAAAAAATGTTTCTGTACCTCAACAATTACAAATTGGTTGCTTGTACATGTTTTAATATTTTTAGGAAAAATAAAACTATCATTTTTAAGTACAATCGAATCTGTTTATTTGTAATAAGTTATATTTAAGTCATAATTACCATTTTAACATAATATGTTTTCCAAAACTTTTGGAATTATTTATAGAATCGGTATCTCTGAAAAATATTGAATGATCAATCATAAGTATTAAAGATTATAAATGTATAGATACTAAAGATTAACGATAATAAAATAATTTACTTTGGTAAATCAAAGAGTTCTGACAATAATGCTTCAATTGCCATTGTTATTCCTTTGATTAGTAAAACTGTTCCAAATCCTTTCCACAAAACACTTATTCCTTGACTCTTGACAAGTCTATATACTACTGGAATTAATGTAAATGGCACAATATGATAACGAGTTGATGCATAATGTAACTGAAACAGTTAAAAGTTTTATGATAAACTACCAATTCATTATTGAACATACGTAGGTACTCAAAAGTTAAAGGTACAGATATTCAAAACATAATATCATTTATATAAATAAAACTAGAATAATATTATGTTATGGGCTTAATAGAGTATGCACGCATAGATTAGGCCTCAGAGATTATCTACGTACAACAATTTGAATACATTTTTACAGCCCCTTGACATAAAAAATTCTGTGTATGGTATTCGGTCAGCAAATTAAATTTAACCTTCAAAAGATGTATAATTTTAAGTTTAAAGGTTTGTTAAGATAAAAAAGCTAGACTAAAATATCTACTAGTCATATTATATTAATTAGGCCCTTTTCATTGGCTAATGTATAAAAAAATATTTACAACTTAAAAATATTTTACGTAATTCTGATTTCATATTATATCTGTGATAATTGGACATAGGTCAGGACAAATTATTAAAAAATACATCCACCTTAAAAGGATGTCAGCAAACAGTGGTTAGTTTTCTCTCTTTGTCCCAGGGTCACTTAGACACTATGCATTCACTCAAATTCATTTCTTTTCTTGAAAGGGAAAACAAGTATTGCACCGACATCCCCTCAATAACTTTGAAGTTGCATATAAACAGTGATCTGATCTGTGTCGACTGCACCCTTTAGATTATTTTATTATTGTTTGTATCTAGTTATTTACAAGTATACTAAGTTTTTTTCCATCTGAGAATGAAATGCACAATGACTTTTATTATACTTTAAATGTTAAACTTGAAGTAAATAAAAATTGAAATAAAGAATAGGGACAAATACAAACTACCAGTGTTTAGTACTTTAATTTTTAAGATGTAAATATTATTACTATACCTATAATGTTACACTGAATTAAATTCAAAATTGTCTTTTAACTTTATATTAATAACAAAATGAGACATACTTGACATTGTCTTCGTAACACAATAAATGGATAGCTCACAACATGCTGTAATATTAGACATGTTGGTTTTAGACATTTGTTCACAGTATCATTGACTAGGATATCTAAATAAAAAAACCAAAAATGGAATATTGTTCATGATTTAATTTATCTACTTAGGTACTTATCAATTATATTGGATTACTTAATAGAATAGGTACATTATGGCATAAATTTTAAATAACCTTTGTTTTTAGACATTTCCATGAGAGTTTCACGGTGCTGTCGTCTGATCATTTCGGTGTCCTGAAAATTCTGTTGTAGCTGAGATGGGTGTTCCGATATACTCCTCGAGGGTCGGTGTCTTTGGAAGTCCATACTGAACGATTCTAAGCCGGCCATTAATACCAATAATTTCCAAAATACTCAATCTATTAATCTACATATATGTTCAATTAGTAATTATAATTATAATCTGAATTTTCAAACAAAGACATAGTAGGTGGACGACATAACATCATAAACTCATAAACCAATAGGCATTCCAATTTCGGTATTACAATTATTATTTATATTTTATTGAATTTTATTTTTTAAAACAGATGATAAAAAACATAGATACACGGACTACTATAGATAAGACCACGGTGGATAAGACTATAGATTCTCCGTTTGTGATAACAACGAGATATCACTTATGAATTATGATATTGATGTTGGTCACTCTGTCGAGTTCTGTTTAACACAAAATGATAAGATATCGAAAAAAAAGGAGAGAAAAAGTATAAACAACCGACGGCCGACGCGCTGACATTATAGTACATTAGTTTATAACTACATAATACATTAGCTATTTATTGCACACACATTCGTAAAGTAATTATTTATTAGTTAATTTTTAATCATTATTGATATTATATAATTATCCTCATCGTAAGTACCCCGGGAAGTACACACGTTTCGAAAATTTTTTTCCGGTTTTCTCGAATTTCGTATCAGACACCGGCGGCTGGGTGTGTAGTATAAAATATATCATAAACGATCTGGCCCTCGTCAATATTTCCATTTTCGTACCGTTAGTTTCCTAACTTTGATTTAATAGTGCTGCTGTAGATTTTTTTGTTAGTTATGTCGGATACGAGTAACGTCAACAGGCTTGAAGAACTCGGCAAAATGAAGGTAAGTACTGGGTAGGAAACGTGTTTCTTGTCGTCAATTATTGACAACGATTGTTAAAAAAAAAAAAATTGTTTATTGATGCGAATTATGAACAGCAATGTTCAATTGTTCTCTGTTTTTTCGCTTGTATTGTCTGGTTACAGTAGTACGGAATAATGATTCTCAATATTCTATTAATCGTAGCTAGATATAATTCCGGTATTCATTACCCCTCATTCAGTAATTGTGATTTAAAAACAAGTTATCATAGATAGGTAAGTGTGTCATTTAACTGTCAGTAGGTAAATCAAAAAAATTATGTTTAATCAGTGTGACATTGTGTTATTATTACTGGTTTAAGATAATTTGCTTGGTTTTACAACTTGATTAATCTCTGTGTACACTCAATTTTTGTCTGATGCCACTAATTTTTGTAGATCTTTCTGTTAAGACTATGCTCTATATTTTACATATACTGAAATGTAATTGTTGACTAAGTAGGTAATTCAATGTTAAAATATGGAGCTCTATTTTCATTTTGAAGATTTTGACCAATTTAATAATTAGCCTCCAATCGTATATAATATACACTACTAGAATTTTTAATAGTTGTATTGTTTTGTATGCAAATTATAAAGTATTGATTTTATGTATAATAAATAATAATATTGAGTTATAATAGTTTATACTAAGAAACTCTAATTAAAAAAAAAAAATAATAATAATAATATTAAACTAATTACCTACATATTTTATTTATAGGTCAATGATTTGAAGAAAGAATTGAAAGCAAGAGGTTTGAGTACAGTTGGAAACAAACAAGAACTCATCGATCGCATGGTTAATCATTCAGAATCTTCAGGTTTGTTTGGCATAAAAATTTATACAAGATAGAAGGTTTAGAAAACCAACGAAAATTCAGTTTTAGATATCGAGGACACTGTGCTGGATGAGCACGACATTCTAGATGAAGATGACGCCTTAGAAGTAATTATTGTTGATATCATTCTAAACTTGTTTACTCATTTAAGTTAATATTTTATTTTAGGATGATTTGGGTTACTCCGATATTGATGAATCAAAAGTTCTAGGCGACATTGCAGAGAAAGAAGAAAACAATGTGGAAAATGGCAATATTCATGAAGAAAAAGAGGTTACACAGGTATTTTATTCATTATAATTTATACTAAAGGATTTGTCATGATTCTTATTTTTAACAATATCTATTGTGTTGTTGGTTGCGGGGTAAGACATTTTTTCCCCTTGATATTATTTTGATTATCGATTTATTGTTTTAAGAGAATGTCAAACCAACATGTGTTGGGTTTTTTTACTTCTTCTAATTACAAACATACATATTTTGTGTTATTATTATTAATATTAGAATAAATTGACTACGATTAAACTAAAGGTAATAACTTAATCTTTGTTTTATAGTTGATTTTTCAGGATATTAAAGTTTTTAAGCGTAAGATGAATTATTAAAATACAGTAGGACGTCGATTATTGAGACTAATTTAATGTCAAAAGTGGTTCATATACGCAAGTATCTGAATCATTGACCATAATGTATGTATACCGAATTACCGACTCTGCAGCAATAGCTAATAATCAGCATTTGATAACAATTGTATGCAATCAATTTTATATATTCTAAATAACTTTAGACAAGTGTCATACAAAAACAGTAGATACCTAATCGATTATAATTATGTGCCATAAAGGGAAATTTTTTTGTCCAGGTAATCGACATTCTACTGTATATAAATGTTTATAACTCTCTTAAAAATTTAAAAATACCCTTAAATAAATGCAAATTGGCTATTAATTGATACATACAAATTATTGAGAGAATTTCTTACTGCCCAATCATTGAACTACTAATAAAGAATAGACATAACCCACAACGGAATTAAAATAGTATCACTTCAAAATAATTATAAATTGATTGCCTTTTAATTTGTATCATTTTAAGGTAACACAACCTAAAAAGGTAACATTGAAACGCACTTCTGTAACTGTGTTGAATGGTGATGGTATTAAACCACAAGAAGAAGAGAAAAAAAGTGAAGACATTGAAGAATCAGATGGTAAGGACCGTATCATCAAATTAGATGACGTTGAAACTATGAGTCAAATTGAGGTAAATATTAAAATGTTTTTATTTTTAATTAATGAATTGTAGTACTTAAATTTATTTATAGAGGATACAAATGAGAGCAAAGAAATTTGGTGGTGAAGTGTCTGAGGACAAAAAATTGGCCCGACTAATTAAATTTGGTGCTGTAACTGATCAAGTATGTAAATGATAATTAATACTTGTATTAAACTAAAAAAAATAATTAAAAATTATAAAAGTTGAATGTATTTTGTAACTAATATTATGTAAATGATTTTCCTTCATGTATGTGTTCATTAAATATAGGTAACTCACTAAAATTGTACAGAATTTGCTCTGATGTAGGTGTTGTGTATTTCATCATTGAGTCGGTCATTGATTGTAATGGATGTGTTAAATTCGAATTCAATAATAAATCATTGTCTACAGAAAACAATTCTGATCAGACTACTAGTGTTTGGAACGTTCATTAAAAAATTAATTCTTTCATGTTTAGTCTTTAAAAAAAGAACTTGCTCACATTCATGTTTGTGTTTTTTTTAAATGAACACGTTCATTTAAAAAACGATTGCATTCATTTAATTTTTCATATTAAGAATTAAAATAAGAAAATATATTAAATGACAAATAAATTGAGTGTCTTAAAAATCGTTCAATTTCATTCAAATATAAAAGTTGTTTATGTTCCGTTTGAAAAAAAATAGTGAACTCGCTTTTCGTTCATTAAATATGAATGTGAATGTGTGTTCATGAATGATGTTCTTTCCAAACACTGGAGGATGCCTATATTTTTGAGAATGTTTTAATAAATATTTATATTGCTATTAGTAATATGGTAGGTTGAATTCATTTTTGTCATAAACAAAACTCTTAAATTGTTTAATAATTAAAATGTTAGTACTAGCTGTTATTTACTTGTAATTTAATATTGAAAAAATATATGTGGGTGGTTTTTGACTAGAAAATAATTTAAAATTTTTGTAATTTTGAACTTTAAATTCTGAAAGTAATAGATCATTACATACAAAAAATGATTCTGAGCCTATATTTTTAATTTTATTTTATGATAGATTTATATTGCTATCATAATATTTTATTTTACTATTCGTAATACGATAAGTTGAATTAATTTTTTTCCAAAAACATTGTATTTTTTATATAATTAATATTTAATTATTATAATAGTATATATTTTTATAATTTATAATTATTATTAACTTTTGGCCAATACCAACTTACTGTAAAACTGTGTGAATAGGTTTGTGATAAAATTAGTTTATAGCATAAAACCAATCCTAATATCTTGAAAACATCATTCTGTACAAAATATATAAAAAAAACTAAAATTACTATTTTTCGTTCTCTTATTCAAATTTTTAAAATAGAAAATGTTCATATATTTTTTTAGATTTTTTTGTTTCTGTATGAATTACTTTTGAGGAACCTTGTGTTACATTTTCAGACTATACCTAAAACCATACAATTTGCCAAAACCATTAAATAAATTTGCAAAGTTGTGAGATTTTGACAATTTTTATGAAAATTTTAACTTAAAATGTTTATAAAAAAAATACAGCACTCTAACTGTTCCAAGGTTATGCAGTTTTTTACTACTTATTTGGAATAGAGTATGGAAGATTATAAGATCTAATATGTGTTACTGATTTTGTTTCACAAAAAAAATATAGGGCAATACTTTTTGTTTGTTTAACTAAATGTATGACATAAATTGACACAAATGATTGCTATATAATAGTTAAGTTTAATTAATAACTACCTTTTTGAATTAGAAACCAGTAGCCAATGCTGATAATGACAAATTAAAAATGAGAGCTGAGAGATTTGGTGAAACCGTTTCCAAAACTTTGCATGATGTAAGTATATTGTTATTTGTTATCTTGTGTGTTCATTTTAACTGAGTATAATATACTCAAAAAGTTATGTACATATATTATATGTATATAATTTTTAATTTGACAAAACATAGTTTTAGATTTTGTATATACTACAAGCTTAAATTATGTGTTAGGCAGAATTCAGTCGCTCAATTAGACTTGAGTTATTATAATTTATGACTTAATGTGTCATTATTTAACATGTAAAAAAACACTTGTAGTAAACCAAAATCATATTGACTTTAGTCTTATTTTAATTATGCGTAATGTATTTTTTATATGAATTATTACTCTTTTCTTATATAGAGCGAAAAAGAAGACAAACTTAAAGCACGTGAGCTTCGTTTTGGTTCAATTGACAAAACTGTATTAACTGCTATTAAGAAACGCACTAATGGTGATGTTGGAAAACAGAAAAATTCTAGAGGTGGTAAAAGGAGTTTTCCATACAAAAAACGGTATTAATTTTTTCTT